AGATAACACTTGGCACATACAAAAGCTTATGTTGACTGATTTATTTACCACTCATTTAGTCGTTATTTAGTTATGCAGATATTCTCTGAAAGAGGGTCTGGTCAAGTGTGATAGCTAAATGTTGTTCTCTATTTTCATGAATAATTTTAAACTGTGCTCATTTGTGGAAAGTTAAATTGGGCAACTTTTAGCATTGATCTCTGCTAAGCAGGTGAAAGATCGCTGGTGTACTAGGATCAGAAACAAACAGATGCTGAAGATAACGGGAAGGTATGATCTGAGTAAACCATAGGAAGAGATCGGTGTTGGGTCCAGTTTTACAAAACGGTCTAAGAAGAGAACAAAAATTTAATTCCTGAAAACTTCCTATCAAAACAATAAAATGACAGTGGACTCGCTGGCCCCAGCATATACGTGACGAAGAAACAGAATATTGCAACAAATGTCTTTTTCCATTGCAGTGGGTAACATCAATGGTAAAAATACATGCACACACTTCGGCCACAAAATTACGTGAAAAAACCCTATTAGTCAAGCTCTCATCGGGATGGTAACAGTACTGAAGCATAGGATAAAAATTCCCATGATATGAAAATACAATAGAGTAAAAAAGACCTTAACAAAGCCACTCCAAAGTAATACCTTTTTCAGCTAAAGAGATCGACCTTCTTGGCCGAGTTTAACATCTTTTCTACGCACTTCATTTGTCTTTCAAACGATTTGTTGTGTGTCGTCTAAAATTTTGTAAAAATACATTCAACACAACGAAGGTTCCAGGTGTTCCTAGTTTATTACCTTTTGTTCCTTGTACAAATTCTGCAGATGTTCCGTGATCCATTTTAAGCCGTAACAGTTTTCTTTCTTCTTCTGAGTAGAACTTCGGCCACATAGTTGCAGCAGACACTAAAAGTACTCTGTTAAACACAAAAATGATGAATGAACTTCAGCAATCATGCAAAGTCCAGAATTAACACTGAAGACGAAATAAATACGTTTATGAATTATGGTACGTTAGGAACGTTTATGCTTTTATAGGGATGCCATTTGTGGCACGATTTAATAAGTTTTAAGCAGTAGAACAGGTACATGCAAGCTCTTGCTATTTTCCATTCATAATGATATTAATGTATCAGTAACGAAACTAACATAAATTAGCAGTACAACCGATTATAATGTGCATGCCGATGACGAATGATCAAAATAATTTCCTCCTCAAGGCGCACCTCCTTCACAACTAGGCCTCTGTAAGGATCAATTTCCTCATCATTCTCTTGTGCTTGGTCAAATCCTTTGCCTTGCCGTGCTTTTCTTGCTGGTATTATCAAAGATATTACCACAGCACAACATCTTAACTTTCAACAGCAGGACGCAGCCCTCAGATCTTCGTTTTACAGGGCCAAACCACGAAGACGTTTTCGAACGACTGGCACTAATACTGCTGCCTGAGCATTCTCATTTCAACATATTCAGCCATTGTTCATGTTTATTCGGCGTAGTCCTATTTTCTCCTTATGCAGTACAACACAGCTATCGCTGATCAGGCTCAGACTTTTAAAATAAATCTATAGATCCACTGTCTATGTCCCTGTTGCATTACCTGATAAAACCAAGATTCATGAATGTCGGCATTGCTTTTATCTTCATAACAATGTTCGATTTTTCTGTTTTGTTTCTTCTGGAAGAGACTGCCATGCATTCTATATTGTGCTTAGTAACACGAAGCCCATTTGTTTTCAAGAACTACTCCCTACGCTTCGATTTTCGCTTCCATACGTTCACTGCTTTCGATGCACATGCTGCATCGCTTGTTCAGAGCACGCAATGGGGGTCTGCTTCCTGAACCTTTAGTCAGTTCATTTATCAGTCGAAAACAGAAGTAGACTGAATATTAATCTGTTTCGTCATTACCATTCTAGATAAAAATTCATATCTTCTGCGTGACAATTTCAAATGGTGTTCTTCTCATCGTACTGGTATCTTTATGCAATAAGAAAGTACTTTTGCACTCACAGAACTCTGCGGCAAGTCGTTCATTATGGCTTATGCCTAATTTACCAATACCTGAAAAATGGAAAGGCACCAAAAATATTTTACAACGCTAGATTTGTATACAATAAATATTAGAGTTCCTGCCTCCTTATTCCTTCTGCAAAGTACAAATCCTTGTTGTTCTATATTCGGACAGTGGCAGATTTAGGTGATGGTTGACCGCACCCTCGTTTACCAAAACTCCGTGATGGTATTGATTATATATATATATATAATGGTAATGGTATTGTAAAGTTACAATGTGGATGGTATCCCAGAACATCGGGGTTATCTTTTCCATATGGTTCTATTTAACGAGTAACACTCAAACTCAAAACTAAAATAAACTAATGCCACTACTAAAAAATAACTAAACCTCAAGCAGATTACCATAAAATATCCCCAGGATGCCCGAATGCTCGTTGGATTTAATTTCAGAGCTTCACAGTAATAGGCTTTGGCCAATTCGAGGTTATCTGTGCCATCTTGCGAATAGCGGATCTGAAAATAATGCGATTAATGAATAATGCGGTAAAACACAATGAAAAGCCGTACCTCAGCAAAAAGTAAATGGTAGAGGTAGTTCTGCGGATTGGTCAAAATCAGTTCTTCAACGCAGTGAGCCGATCTGACGTAGTCGGCTTCAGACAAGTGCAGCTGTGCCAACTGCATCCACGCCTCCGTGTCGTTCATGAACAACTTCAAGTACTCGCACAGATCCCGAATCGCGCTTGCGTTCTTGCCTTGGGCCATCAGTACAGCGATTCTGCGCTTGTAGTAAACCTAAACGATGTAAAGACTGAAAGGTGATTTTAAATACGAAAAGCTGTTGAAGAAACAAATGCGCTTAGTGGATTCACATACCGGATTCGTTTCGTCCATTTTTATGAGACTGTCATAAAGTTTGACCGCTTCGGGATACCTGAAATCCAGGTTAGCATTCAAGCTACCGTAGAAAATGTGCTTACCTGCCCGTAGCTTCCAGCATCATTGCCTCCAACTTCAGCAGACGACGACTTTTATTGAATTTCTTATACAGTTCCGAAAGACAATCCTGGGCCACTTCCATATTAGCACAGTCTAGCGCTGCGATGTACACCTGCTCATATACGATCCACACTAAATTATGGCAAAATTTTCATATCCCATATTGTCATCAATAACGTAATTTCTAAAAGTCTAAAAAGTTCAAAAGGGTCTAATTTTCCATTTGACAGTTTTTTGAATCTTTTGCAGTACCACTGTAAAACCTGCGTAACAAGAATTTTGTGGCAAGATGTTCCGTGGCTTGACTATCTGTTTCTCAATCGCGCTTAAGCAAATAGTGGAATACTTAATTATGCGTATGGCACATGTTACGGTCCAGAGTGGTAATCCGTTCATAGCAGTATAGATTGAAATCAATTCGCATTTCAGTCCATACCGGCATGGAATGTAACTGACTGGCGCTTCATTCTAATTCGGTGACACCTCGGTTTTATATTTAAGTATATTATGTACCTTATATAGTATAGTAGCATATATGTACATCTAAGTTTATGTCTTAGCTCTGTAGGCTGTGGCTTAGGAAGCAACATAGTAAATGCCACACATTACCATTCTGGACTGGAGGTCAAATTAGTTTTAATTCATAAGGGTACGCGCGTATTACCATTCTTCCCGGAAACATATACGTATATCGTTTCCTGTATTCAAGCATTCAATAGCCACTAATACTATCCTTCCCTTGAGAAGATCCGAGTGACTGTTGACTAAACAGTGGCCAGTTATCTGAACACAGGTTCAAAAGAACAGTTGACGTAAGGCAAAAATCGAGGCATTTGAATTTACGTGCTTAAAAGAAAGTTCTGGCCATTACAACTATCAGGCAAAAGTTTTGCTTTAGCTTACCGTATGCACCTCCTCTACCCCGTCTCCCCCTTATTGCAGCCTCGTCGATCAAACTTTAAGAATTACACATATACATTCATCGTGAAATGCTGCCGGACGACGACTTAGGACATGTTCCCATATCTCTACGGTTTCTTCGCTACGACGACAGTTGTCTTCTCGCCATTTTCGCAACGTATGTCGACCTTCTTAAAAAAAATTAATTACATTTAAAGGATACACAACTTTTTATAGTGGTTAAAGAAACTTTACTTGCTTTTAAAGTTAAAATATGTAATTAACTTCAGATGTTAAATAACGGCAGGTAAAAAATATATCATAGAACACGTGCTTCATAACTCGTGAAATGGTCAAGTAAAACTTTGGCGTAATTCTCCATAACCGAGTAACAAGAAGTTTAGACTGCACTCCTCTGAGTTCACATCTCCCATTTCTCACACCCCATAAGCAACTAGTCATTTGCTTTCTTCCTGCTTTAATCTGCAATAAAGATTGTTTAGTCGTGCGCCTATTAACTCACTGTTTTCCAAGTGTAGTGATCTCCCTAAAACGGAGCAAACGATGAGTCTAGTCTCGAGTCATCTAAATGCTACAAAAGCTCTGCTTACCAAAATCTTTTTTAGGTGGAAATCTGGGAGACTTTTGCGCTATCCCTTTTTCTGCATCGAAACTGCTTTCCAGTCTGAACAATCGATCAGAAAAACGCATATCCCACATGTAAAAACTAAATTTCAGGTGAATAGTAAGCAAGCGTCAAGTAAGCTCTTCTGGAGGCAGCTAACTAGATTCATGGTGCCTGTTTTCTAAAGGCAGAAAACTTAGCACTCGACTGAAGCCTATATATGAAGAGGTACGGTAGATGTGCATACATTTTACACAAATGTTAATGCATTTGCTTAGAAGCCCAAGGAACAGAGGCAAAGCAGAAAATATCTTACTTATAAGTAACCGGTCATAATTGCCGTACATATGAAGTCTATAAGGACTGGAAAGGAGACAGCAAATGGTTATATGCTACAAACTTTCTAATAATTCTTCGACTGTGATGCCCTACTATGAATCATGCAAACGAAAAATATAAAGGTCATAATGTTGTTGTGTACGGCCCGTCATAAAGTCCGAAATAATATATAGAGGTGTCAGTAAAACGCTGAAGCACCTCCTTGTCTTGACTGGTTAACGACCGAGACCGTTGAAACAATTTCATGAGGCCGCTGACTCCAGAATCTGAAATGAATAGAAGGCCTTAAAAAGGACGTTCATGAAGGAACGAATATCTTCTCATGCTTTATGATAGACTTATCTAAGGAAAAATACTCTAGTCACACAATCCATACAAGCTGAGGGAACTACAAACCATTTACATCTATCGAAGATAGTGCTTCGGATTGTAAGGTCATGTATAAAAAAATGACTGATCGCAACATATATAGGATACTACGTCACAATTCTGCGGATGAGCTTCAGAAATAACTACCAAACTACGAAATATAAGGCAGAACGTCGCAGAGGACAAATTTCAAGGCGTTTCACCGTTCTTTTGATTTTAGTTGAATTGATCAGTGCCAGGTAAATCTAGCATCATTGTGCTCGCTGAAATCACTACGCGCTTATCACGCACGATTTCAGCTAATTTATCCTTGTCTTTCAGTGTCTTTCAGTAAGCAGACAACGTAATACTGTTAACCACCAATTATATATAAATGGATTAACATTCGATAAAAACGCAGTGAACTTATAAACTATACGGAAACTTACTGCTATTATTAACGGATAGGTCACAGATATACGCTTTAACTTACCATCAAAAGAAATCAACGTCCAGTCTTTTATTGCTTCAGACATTCGCTACAGTACCTGAAATAACAGAAATAGGAAAAGTTTAGTATACTCGAAAAAATAAAAACATTATACACAGCATTAAATGCATGGGTCTGTAAAAACTATATACTAAAAACTACTAACTATAGTATAACTAGCTGTATTAGGCCAGCTGATTTCCACCTATGTTCGCAGTAATTAAACTTTTTACAGTAATTATGTAATTTTCTTACTAGGCTATATTCCTCTTAAATTCCTTTGACCTGGCAAGGTTGGTCTTTCTCGATTAGCAGGGTCAGATACGGCTAAGCTTGAACATCAGAACTGCTCAAAACTGCCATGAATTATGTCCTGCCGTGGCAGAGTCAGTATGCATAATCGAAAGTAGATTTTCCTCTGCTTTGTACAATCTCCAGCATATCTGTGGCCAGTGAACAACGTCTTAGCTCCTGCAAAGGACAGGATTTAGAATAACCTGAACTGAGAAACACTTTCTTTCATAGATGTGCACCTTACCATGGCCCCATCTAGTTTTAAAATATAAATACTTGTTTCGTAAAAGCATTTATGAAGAAACAGCAGTATGACAGCATCATACGTTGTTCCATCACCTACCCCCCACTGCTGAGAAGAATATGCTGTTCCGGCCAACACTGTGTGATCTAGCACATATGCACTTCAAGTGCTAAAATCCTATTTGAATAGCTGGTCCACTAGGACTGCATAAGCACAGGATGATGGGGCGTTGCAGTATCCATCAGTGTAAGGAACTCTGTGAGTCATTCATTTCTTACTACAGCATTTAAGCAAATTAACTTTGGTTAGTACTCAAATGTAAATGATTCATATGAGAAGTTATTAAATTATTAAATTCGGCTCTAAGGTTTCGAAAAATTTCTAAGAATATTTAACAGACAGACCTGCAGTCGCTTAACCTATCCCCTCGTGGAATAGTGAAAAGTTTGATTCTGCAAACACGTTGTCTAACACGTGTCCCAAACTTAATCTTTGCAACACTTGCTTCAGAGCCATAGTGATCACATATAAATGCCCAGTTTTCTTTGCCATTCAAATCCAGTTACAGATCACTACCAGATATTCGATAATATGAATGTTTTGTTTGTTTACGATTATCGCTTTGTTATTACCATATTTTTCGCTAATGAAATATTAATACTGAACGGTAGTCTTAATTTTAGGCATGTTTAACTGAATCCGCGAAGGAGATATTCCTAAGCGACTGCAAATCTGCCTCGATCAGGTGTTTCAAAATTGGATGTTAAAAAAGAAGGGTAGAGATAAATGAAGGAGATTCCGAAAAAAACAGTGATAAACTACTCAATTACTATATTTAAGACAAGAATATTTGAAAGGTAATACAAATCACTATTGAATAAATACAATACTAGGATATGGCATTTACAAAATCATAACATGGACAATCAGCAGATAAAATCCAGTATGATTTAATATAATAAAAGCAAAGAAAGTACTAATTTTAGTGGTTAAGGCAATCCACCTCAATCATGAAAGCATGGCTGCTATTCGTAAAGTCTGTCTACTTTTAGCTCTGATTCTTTCCCGTGTACAACTCTAAGTTTAATCCGAAAGCTTTTCTCTTCTAATAATCCAGAGAAATCTTTTTCGAACTCAATGTAGCCAAAATGTGAAAAACAACTCAACACAGTAACTAAAACAGTTAGAGACCAATGAACTTAATGACTGCTCAAATAGCTGACAAAAAATAACTTCGAAGGCAACTTTTGGTCAACCATACGAAAACCGAATCTGTCAAAATGAGTATTAAATAACTCTGCAGCTTTAAACATACAGCATTTCTTAGTAATCAGTCAAACATTCTAGGAACTGCTGAATGCGCAGGGGAGAAACTGTCAGTTAATTTTGGCAGAACGTTCGCGCTATACCTCATCATGAACATCAGCAACCTTAATCGACGCAAAAACATTTTGCCTGTGTTTACTAGCATTATGTTTTAATGTGAAAATGCAATGAGATAATATCGAAATATCTCACATCCTAGAATCAAATTATCATCACAATTTTTCTCTGGCAGGTCGTAAATATAGTTTATAAACTGATATTGCATTAACATAAATCAACTTTTACTTCATTAATTGACCTAGTTTTATAAATATGCACATCTTTATCGCCTGTGGTGCAATACAAATAGAAAAAACCTATTACACAATCAGCAAAATAATGCCATTTATACCAGATCATCACAAAACCAGTGCATCTAATAAAACAATGGAAGTAAGTGGTTAAGAAAGTTAAAAATAACGCAGGCGGATTTTAACCCTACAAATGGAGCACCTACACTGCACATGTCGCAGTAAACCAAGTACTCAAGCTTCGCATCAGCTTTAAATACGTTTTAACAGGGCTGAATGCTGGGTATAGTATCACAAAGATTATCAAGTTGTATACTAAGGTCTCGCAAACAAACCTCAATATTAAAAATAAAAGATTACCATGTTTGACTCCGTCGTTGCCGGTCCCAAGCTCAGAAAAGAAAGATGAACAATGAAGTCTAAGCAACTACTCTTATCTCCACCAACTAGCAGAAGGTTGCGGGAGTGGCCAAGAATGTAGCATGTTTCAGCGTACCGAGACATGAGAATTTCAAAACTGGCACAGGATTGGAAACGCTGGTCACACTGTCTGATGCGTTTGCGATCTGCTGGGATAATGAGCCATCAAACAAGCTGATAAATATTTTTAAAGAAGTTTCGATTTCTGGCAACAACCGATCAGCTGAGTAACTATTTGATACACAATTATGACACTGAAGTGTTGGACTAAACAAATCAGCAAGGTCTGAAATGAGACAAACTAGGTGTATGACTTATCTGCGAGATCCAAGGGTCAAGGCACATGCGTGACTTTTATCCAATTCATGTTACATATGATGATTATGACACTATTTGAAAAGTATGTTACATTCGTCAATCCTTACACATAATTTTTCGCAGCTTAAAGGGGATTGATCCACATCAGCAATCAAGCAATAACTACTGAATTTTTACAGGATATCTGTAACGTACCTAACTCTATACAATGCTGATTTTGATATCATAATCATGCATGAAGAATATATTCAGTTTAAAAGATATTCAGGTTTAAACGAATGAAAGTTGAAAGATTACATCTGGAACATAGTCTCAGTCTTGCTAGTCTTACCATCTCGCTTACTTTAATCTTACTAATTACTGCAGAAATAAAATGTGTGGATAGTAAACAATGAATAAATAGCTGTGAAACTAAAACAAGCGAATTCAACTACGCACAAAATAATGAACTGAACACCCGCAGCGACTTATTGCTAACCGATATTTAGCACAAGAAAGGAACCGCAGTGTCATGGTGGCACATCCGTGTAAGTGTGGATTGGAATCCCAGACGTGCTGAATACCGAAAAACTGTTGGTCGTTTCTGTATGAAGTTCAGCAAACGTTGCATCAGTGCCAAAAGTGTAAACAACATCAACAGCTTGGTGTTCTTGGGTTGTCAGATCTCAATTGACAAGACGATTGGCTATATTGTATGATGAAAGAACCTCTTGATGTTTAAATTCCCCTTAACTCATCTGGTACTTCATTATCCGATGTGACACCAATACACAAGATGGAACATTTATTCCTGATCCAGATTTTCTCAGCTGTTGTGTATCTAAAAGACTCATACGTTTTTTACCGTTATAAATGCACTGCAAAGTAAGAGGCCATTTTATATTTGTCGCATCAGGTCATTGCGACAATTCACATCTAAAGTTATTTAGCATTCAAATGGTCTGATCTAAACTCGAGGTTCTTGGTACACCTGCGCATTGTTAGTATCGATGCTTGTTGTCATGCATTGTCTGAATTAGCCAACTTTAATCAGATAATGATCGAGCATCAGAGCTTACTGTAAAGGCCACTGACCAAAATAGATGCACCTTCCCATCTTATTGATCTAAAAGTGAGCATTTTAACTGAAACCGTGAACCAGTTACAGCAGTGCATCGCAAGCTCTGCGTTAGAATTTCTACTGCGCGGAATTTCATCCATTAAAATCTATATGGCAGATATGAACAAGTAACCATGCAGCGCATATCTGAAACTCAAATCTTTCTCGTCGTAGAACAAGAAAAGCATCTTGTAGATAAGCTCCGACTATGTTGTTCAAAATATTCGATGCACTTCCCCTAGCAAAAAGATTCGCTCGAATGATCAGTATTCAGTTTTGAAACGCAATGTAGAGCAGCTTTTTTGTGTCGTCCGGACTTTCGGTTCTCCTGTTAGACAGGAGAGCGTCGTTAATGCAATACTGAAAGTGAGAGGGTCTGATGCTTCATTGCCAGTTCGAAAACGATTTTATTTCACCCCTTTTTTAATAGCTTCATTCATAGTGAAATTTATTAATGGAAGCCCACAGATAGAGTACAATTAAAAACTGCTGTATGACCTGGCAATTAATCAGCTAAATATTTCGCACTCAGAATATGGCCTTCACATATGGTTTTAAATCTTCTTTCGGCTCAGTAACCGAGAATGAGTCACGAATTGCTGACCAGTCTATTTTGACCAATCAGAATGTCTATTGGATTGACTTTCATTTATTAAAAAACTGAACTAATCAGTCATATCAAGAATTTAAATTTTTGTTACTTAGGAGTCATTTTCTGATAATTTTTAACTCATTGTGGCTGCGCAGCTCCCTGACAAGGATTATATTAAGGCAAAAGACCAGCCAAATTCTAGATGCTGCTGATTTACAGGACAGTCCATCATTAATACGTTATTAATTACCAAATCTCATGGTATTCTATTAAACAATAAAACAATTTAGAGAGGATAGAGATCAACGTTTAAAAATGATCTGAATGTAGAATAAATTCCTTGGCAAAGCTCATATTACATAATTTCGGATGACCTTCTATTCATTCTTTGCAACAAGTCTTGTTTCATTTTTAAACGCTGCCAAATGATGCAGCGATAATAATGGTAAGAACGATCGAAGGC